CTGAGGTAGGTAATATTTTCATATCATAGATGAGGATAATGAGGCTCAGAGTTTAAGTGACTTGCCCAAGTTCATACATTGAGTTATGGGAAAGTTGGGACCAGGAGTCAGGGGTTTTGTTATGGTAAAGCTGCCACACCCAAATCTCTTCTTATTCCAAAAATCTAAGTGTGTAAACAGCTGCCTCAGAAAAAACGAAGACCAATAATATGACTTTTACATTAATAGTCTGGCACATGGCAAATGCTCAGTAAATGTTTATCGAAAGGAGTAACATAGGGTGCCTGGGTGGCTCAGTCAGTTAAGCATTTGACTTTGGCTCAGGTTCTGATTTCATGGTTGGTGAGTTCAAGCCCCATATTGGGCTCTATGCTGACGGCTCAGAGCCTGGAGCCTGCTTCAGAATCTGTGTCTTCCTCTCTCTCTGCCCCTCCCCCTTTCGTGCTCCGTCTCTCTCTCTCTCTCTCTCTCAAAAATAAACATTAAATAATAATAATAATAATAATAATAATAATAATAATAATAGGGGCGCCTGGGTGGTTCGGTTGGTTAAGCATCCGACTTCGGCTCAGGTCATGATCTCATGGTCCCGGTCCGTGAGTTCGAGCCCCGCGTCGGGCTCTGTGCTGACGGCTCAGAGCCTGGAGCCTGTTTCAGATTCTGTGTCTCCCTCTCTCTCTGCCCCTCCCCTGTTCATGCTCTGTCTCTCTCTGTCTCAAAAATAAATAAACGTTAAAAAAAAAAGAAAAACAATGTATATTTAAAATAATAATAATAATAATAATAATTATTATTATTATTATTATTATTAAGGGGTAGCATACCCTAAAGATTTGCTTTAGGTCCAGTGTTGCCAGGCTGTAAGGATAGATAAAACTCAGATGAATCCAGAAGAAGAAGCAGACAGCTAATTGTAAAACAAACTCCAATAATGTAGCCCAGATTAGGGAGAGGGCAGTTGAACAAGATCTGACTATGGAAGTGAATTAAAGGGGCCAGTGAAATAATGTTTATTGAGTACCTCTCATAGGCCAAGAAACTATGCTAGATTAATTACATATAGCAACTGATCATTCTATATGTACCACAACTCTGTGAAGAGAGGGTATTTTCCCTATTGTAAAGTAAAAATGTTGTGGCTTAGAGAGGCAGTACGACTCACCCAAAAATTCAGCTGAACAATAAATAGAGCAGGGATTTTGAACTCCCTATAATAATGCAGAGTACTAGGTCTAGTCTCAACTGTTAATTGTAATGCCTGGGCAAATCCTCAATTTCTGGTTCTCAGTTTCTTTCTTGATTAAATAGGAATTATAATCTCTCTTCTTCCAATTTTATCTCCCAGGTTTAGAGAATAAAATAAGGTAGAGGACTTGCAATTGAGGTAAGGATCAAATCTGTGTTTCAGTAAAGTTACTCTTTGACCAGCAGTCCCATTTTTAGGGATCTTTCTTAAGGAAGTAATAGAAAACTGAACACATATTTATGTAAATACATGACCACTTTGATTTAATTTATAATAATTAAGAATAGAAAAGTAAAGGTACAATATTAAAGAATTGGTCATATGACACATACATAAGATGGAATACAATGTAGTCAATTGAAATGATATTTCTGAAAAGTTTTAAGGGTCTCAATTGTAAATAAACTATTGTGGCTGTTAGTTTTTGAAAAAAAATGAAAAAATAGAAGTCTCAGAAAAAATATTTATGATATAATGTTAAGTGAAATATACATAGAAGTTACAAATAAGGATATATGGTATGCTGTCATTTATATATAGATAAAAAGTATAAATAGATTTCTATGTTTATATATACAAAAACTATCTCTGAAGGGTACATAAATTGGTAACATGTTTGCCTTTGAGGAGAGGACCAGAGACTGGAAGTCGGAGTGGAAAGCACTATAAACCTTTACATATTATTTATTTTTTAAGTAAAAATTAAAATAATGCCAACTACAGATGGTGATAAGATAATGCTTGCAAATAGTAAAAGTTTGAATTATTTTCAACATATGTATTACCATTTATTTATTTGTTTGTTTATTAAAGGAGATAGAAGTTTATTGAATACACTGCAAGGGAGAGGTAGGCAGGACAGCAAAGGAGAGGCTGTCTGCCCTTATTACTTTTAAAATCAACAAATAATAAGATATAATTTAAAAACAGATGGTACTTTGTTGCATAAGAAAGTAACGGAGGAAAAAAAGGCAAGGGCACCTGGGTGGCTTAGTCAGTTGAGTGTCTGACTTTTAGTTTTGGCTCAGATAATGATCCCTGGGTCGTGGGATCTAGCCCACAGAGGATCTAGGCCTTTGTGCTGAACGTGGAGCCTGCTTAAGATTCCCTCTCTTTCTCTCTCTCTCTCCCTCCCTCTCTCCCTCCCTCTTCCCCACTCATGTGCACTCTCTCTCTCTCTAAAAAAGAAAGAAAGAAAAGAATAAAGAAAATAAGGGAGAGAATACACTTAACTGTTAATGATGGCTGTTTCTGAGTAGATGGGGTATCTTACAATGTAAAACTTTCTGTTTTACACTCTTGTGTTCTTTTCTTTTTTCTTTTTATTTATATATTTATTTATTTTGAGAGAGTGCAAGCATGAGCTGGGAAGGAGCAGAGAGAGAGGAAGAGAGAGAGAATCCCAAGCAGGCTCTGTGCTGCAAGTACAGAGCCTGACTTGGGGCTCGAACTTACAAATCATGAGATCATGACCTGAGCTGAATGAAATCAAGAGTCAGACGCTTAACTGAACTGCTCAGGCACCCCTCTTGTGTTCTTTTCTAATTTTTTATAGTGAATTTATACTTTCAAAGCAAAAATTCTGTCTTGTAAACAAACAATAATGACTGGCAGCAGAGTGGAGGATGGTGTGAGGTTGTTGTGGTTGCTTCCCTTGTTTTAGGTAGGAAAAAAAGCATAATTTCCTTTGAATTGCCAATTCTGGAAACAGGCTCTCCATCTGGTACCATGAAAAGCTGAAAAGTTAGGGCTATGAGACAGTTTAAGCAAGCAATGGCATCCTCCCCTCTAATCTCACTTTCTTCTTCCGTGTAAATGCTCCAGGTGTCCTGGGCACGTTGCACACCCACTAGTGAGTGTTGATCTGGGGCAGATTGATTATGGGAGTGGGGCCAAGGGTCTCAGATAAGGGCTTGAGAGCTGGGAGAAAAGAGAAAGGAAGAACAGAGGCCACCAGAGGCTAGTGGTGGCATATTTAAGAAAGTATTATTAAAGGGCTGCTATTAGGGGCACCTGGGTGGCTCAATCGGTTAGGCATCCAATTTCGGCTCAGGTCATGAATTCGTGAATTCGAGCCCCACACCTGGCTCTGTGCTGACAGCTTGGAGCCTGGAGCCTGCTTCGGATTCTGTCTGTCTGTCTGTCTGTCTCTCTCTCTCTCTGCCTCTACCCTGCTTGCATTCTGTCTCTGTCTGGCAAAAATAAATAAACATTAAAAAAATTTTTAAAGGACTGCTAATAATCCCATATATTTCTTTGACCTTTCTTCAAGAGAGCTTTAAACCTTCTACGTTTGTCAGTTCCTTGTCCTTACAGCTCACCTGAGAGGCCCATAGACTTAAACCCACCAGCCAAACTCTCTTTCTTTTCCTTTGAAGAACAAAAACAGGAATTCCCAAAGAGAGTGACACCCTGGACATTATCTCATGTTAGGGCTGTGTTCCCACCCTCCTTTGACCACTTATACAGCCTGCCCAAGAACCCAGTGCTGAGCATAAGGGGTGACTGCAGGTAGAGAAGTAGGGTACTTACTTATTCCAATAAGCCTATGGGACCAAGTGCTGGATTATGGGGTTCAGATCCAAAGTGTTCTAGGAAAAGAGAGGATGGTGGCAGGTGTGAGGGAGCTGGGGTCTCAGGGAAGGCCTGGCACATAAATAAATACTTGCTGATGAGTATATGGATGAGTGAGCAAATGAACAAATAAATAAACAAAGGATCTGGGCTTTAAAGGATTTGGAATAATAATAACTTATGTTCACAGCTGTGAGGGCTTTATCAGTTTATTAAGGTCTTCCTTAGTGTTATCTCATTTGGGTCCTATAACAGCCCTGTAGGAAAAGCAGGGCAGAAATTGTCCTCTCCATTTTCCAGATGATGAGATTGAGTCCCAGAGTGATGAGTGACTTTTATTAATCCAGCACACATTTACTGAGTGCTGATTATGTACGAGTACTTGTGCTAGAAGCTAGAGATGCAGAAATGAAGTACATTAAGTCCAAGATGCTTGGTCTAAAGGAGGAACTGGAATAGTAAACAGTTTCTAAATGACACCAGTGCTGTTAGTGTGGTCTGGGGGCATAGAAGCAGGAGTGCGTGCCTTTATCATGCACAACGGAAGGTGAGATTTCATTTGGATCTATAAGGATGAATAGGAGTTTATTAAGAGTCTTGTGAACAGAAAGAATACATGTCTAAAGGGATAAAGCAAGAAATAACATGGCTTAGAGTAAAGTGTATAATTTGGTATAAAAGTGGCACTGGTTGGTAGAGAGAAAGCCTAGAAGAAGATCAAGTTTATTTTTTGGTAAGTTGGTTCTTTGGGCTTGATTTTTAGAGTTGCAGGGAGCCATGAAAGTTTTTAAAAAAAATTTTTAATGTTTATTTATTTTTGAGAGAGAGGGAGAGACAGAGCGTGAGCAGGGGAGGGGCAGAGAGAGAGGGAGACACAGAATCCGAAGCAGGCTCTAGGCTCTGAGCTGTCAGCACAGAGCCTGACACGGGACTCCAACTCACGAACTGTGAGATTATGACCTGAGCCGAAGTCGGACGCTCAGCTGACTGAGCCACCCAGGCGCCCCTTTGAAAGTTTTTGAAACAGGGGAATGATAGCCCCATGCTGGGCCTTTCCTGGAATATTCATATGTTTACTGTTTTGACTTTTTCTTTTCAAAACTCAGCTCAGGAGCTGCCTCCTACAAGAGACTCTTCCTGACCACCATGCCTCTAGGTTGGGTTAGATGTTAGATGTTTCTTGTGGGCTTCCTGGGCCAAGCCTTCCCTCTGTCCTATCACTTATCTACTGCCTTGTTACCCTGTGTTTACATGCTTTTCTACTCTAATCTGTGGCCACTCAGAGGTTATAGCTCCATGTCTGATTCATATTTGTATTCCCCATACCCAGCACAAGGCTTGACCCAGAGCAATGTGCTCAGTAAATATTTGCTGAAAGAATGAATGGGAGGAACCAGGTTCCACCCCAGTCCTGAGACAACATTTGGAGCAGGTGTAGTACTGGGGTGATTCTATGGTGTGTGTGTTTCTTCAGTGATGCTTGGGTGGAGAGAGTGTATGTGAATGGTGGAGTAACCATTAAAGATTGGTGACACTGGAGGTGTGTTCCTCCTGAGTGACCACAGGTCTTTCCTATAGATGGCTTCTGTGACTGATGGTAAAGCCGGAGTCAAAGATGCTTCTGACCAGAATTTTGACTACATGTTCAAACTGCTCATCATTGGCAACAGCAGTGTTGGCAAAACCTCCTTCCTCTTCCGCTATGCCGATGACACCTTTACCCCAGCCTTTGTCAGCACTGTGGGCATCGACTTCAAGGTGAAGACAGTCTACCGCCATGAGAAGAGAGTGAAGCTGCAGATCTGGGTGAGTCCTGAGCATCTTGCGCAGGATTGTCTTGGGGGGTGATTGGTCTGCTAGTACAAGAGCTGGGAGGCAGGCCAGTCTGGAACTTCTGGATCTTATGGCATCAAGCACCAGTGCTGTTGAAGGCCTGGCCCCTGGACTGCCCCTTGCTGCTTTGATAGAAGTTTGCTCGCTTCTGGGGCCTCAGTTGTTTCTGCTGCTTAACTTTCTAAGAGGCTTTATCCTGCCTATACAAATGAGTGACCAAGAATTTGGGCTTTGGGGTTAGGAATTTGGATTCAACTTCCAGTTCTGCCACTTATTAGTTATGGAATCTTGACTAAATATTTATCTTCTCTAGGCCACCCTTTCCTCTTTGGGGGTGTAGCATTGACATCATAGGGCTGTTGGTGCTTAGCATACTTCATGGAATGCAGTAAATGCACTGTAAATGTTAGCTCCTGTGTCCATAATCTATTACTGTGTAATAAATCACTTCAAAACTTGATGGCTTAAAATAACAGTAATTAATTATTACACAGTTTCTGTGGATGAAACATTTGGGGGTGGCTTGGTTTCTGTCTTGTTGCCTCTTATGAGGTTGCAGTCAGATATTGGCTTGGGTTGTCATCTGAAGGTTTGAATGGGGCTAGAGGATCCCATTCCAAAGTGGCTTACTCATGTATCAGGTATTGGCTATTAGCAGGAGGCCTTAGTTCTTTCCCATGTGGTTCTCTCCATGGAGTTGTGTAAGTGCCTTCATGGCATGGCATCTGGCTTCCCCCAGGGGGAAAGATCCAAGAAAGCAGAGAGGAAGTGACAATGTCTTTTATTACTTAGCCTTAGAGTATCTTTTGGTCACTGATTCAGTGTAGGAGGAAATTACATAAGGGTATGAATCCTGGGAGGTGAGGATCATTGGGGACCACCACAGCTACTATTATTGGTATTTACCAGTGGTACTAATAAAATATATACATCTTTGAGATGATATAGCAAAATGTAGATCATATGCTTTTCAATAAAGAATTATTGCCAGGATTAGATATTTTGAAAATTAGTGATTTTTAGTATTCAAAGCATGTGTTGTTTATGATCTCTCCATTCAACCTGATACATTGTGCACATATCTTATTGGCTATATACAGTACTTTTCTTTTTATAAATTATCTCCATATGTTATTATCTTCTGATTAACCCCAAGGGACAGATATTATTTTAATTCACTCCTATTTTACAGAAGAAAAAAAGTCAGACTCAGTAATTAACTTGCCTTAAGTCAACCACACAGTTGCAAAGTGGGATTCCAATTGAGGCCTTCTGATTCCAAGTTTTGTGCTCTTTTCTCTACACTGCGCATGTTAGGTCTTATAGAGCCCTTATTTCCATTTATGATAATATTAAGTATTAATTTATATAGAGATAAAAGTTTATTTTGTTCATTTAGTCTTTATTAAAATCACTGAGGAATTGTGAGTTATTAGAAATATGAGAAGCTAAAAAGACCACTCAGTTCATTAGTTCTAGAAGTGTGGTCTTCAGGTCATCAGCATCAGCATTACCTGGGAATTTATTAGAAATGCAAATTCTCAGGCCCCTCCTCAGACCTACTTAAATGAGAAACTTTGAGCTATGGCCTAACAATGTGTATTAATTATAACAAGCCTTCCAGGTGGTTTTGAGGCAGGCTACAATTGAAGAACCACTTTGGTTTAACTACCATTTGGTTTAACTGTCTTATGGTGAGAATCAATAAGCATTTATTAAGTACCTATTATGTGCCAACTGCTTCCACTTGTGTAATCTGACATCCTCTTGGCAGCCAATGCACAGAGAAGTGAAAGCACAGGATATTGGGGGGTGGTGAGCAATACAGGGGAACTGGAACAAGGCTGTGAAGAGCAGGGAGGGGTGCTAAGAGGGAAATTTGCTGGAGAGGCTGTTAGGCAGTGGCTTGAAGGTAAGGGAGACCTTGCACAGCAAACAGAAGTTTCTTACCATGGGCCAGAGTTTACATACCTGACGATTCTTTAGAGACCTGAAGAAACTATTAGGAGGTTTTTTTTTTTTTTTTTTAATCTATAAACATAAGATAAAGGTTTACTCATATTTCCTATATGGATTGACACAGATGTCTTCATTTGATCTCCACATCACGTGGTCACATATCCTACACTCAAAAAATCTTCAGGTAGGAGAAGACAGTCTGCCTTCTAAGGGATTTGGCAGTGGTGGCTCCCTCAGTCCTTCATTTATGTTCAGTACATTGTGAACTTTTGCAGTTTCTCTGTCCCTGGTTAAGTGGATTTATTGATTATACTACCTAATTTTAACTAAATAAACCCTCACAATGGATATGTGGCTTTAAAAGAGTCCTGCGAAGAAACCTCTGCCTGAAGACTATACTAATTATAGTGAGCCCAAGTGAGCATGGAAAATGGCTGAACTGATGTTTCTCAGACTCCCAGCATAAGTTCATTGTCAGCCATGTTTTGAGGTAAAATCAATGATGATCTAATTAGATCTGACATAGTCAATCACATTGCTTTTGCTAAAAAAAAAAATTAGCAAAGAGATTTTGTGCGTGTGTGCATATGTGCCTTTCTATAGCAGAGAAAAAGTTTTCTGTACTGTTCATAAATACATTAAAATGTAAAGATTTAAATATTTGTCATTTTTATGAGTTTTAACATCTTTTGTGTACAGATATAGATCTATATGTATGTGTAATCTAAATAAATATACAAATATTGTGGGTATGTGCTCACATTGTTCACATGGCCTTACTTAAAGGGTATAAATTTGGAGACCATTACCAGACCATGGGGAACCATAGAAGGGTTTTAATAAGGTCAGATTTGCATTCTAGAAAAATCCCTTCTTTCAGTTTGGAGAAAGGATGGAAATAAGGCAAAGAAACCAGTGGTTCAGGTAAGTTATAAGGGCCTGAATTAAGTGTATTAGTCTGCTTGGGCTACCGTAACAAAATACCACAGACTGGACGGCTTAAACAATAGAAATTTATTTTCTTCTAGTTCTAGAGGCTGGAAGTTCAAGATCAAGGTGCTAGCAAGGTTGATGTTTGACAAGAACTCTTCCCTTGTGTTGCAGATAGCTGCCTTCTAGCTGCGTGCCCACATGGCCTTTCCTTGGTGCTTATATATGGAGAGTGAGGGAGCTCTCTGGTGTCTCTTCTTTTTTTAAATTTTTTTTTTTCAACGTTTATTTATTTTTGG